GAGTTCTGCAAACTGCTCTAGCAAATTAACCAAGTTTAAAGAGGGGATTATGGGAACCTCAATTTATAACTTGTCAGTCAGAAGTTCCAGAGGCCTGGACTTGGGACTGATGTCTGAAATGGGGACAGTCTTGGGGACTTAACCCTCGACCTGTGGGATTGATGCTGTCCCAGGTAGAGAGCGTCCTAATGAAATTGGGTTAGAAGATGCCCTGCGGGCACATGCTGCCGTGCAACTTGCTACCCCGGGGGAGAAGTCCGCACACGTTTTGGGATCACAGAGGTGGTCTGTGTGGGGGCTGTGTAACAGGAGAAACTGTGTTCATATTTTTTCCCCCCTGAAATAAGAGCTAATAATGCAAGTAGTTTATTTTCCCCTCTGGGAGAAATTATAAAGAGCAATCTATACATCTTGACATTTCTGAAGAGTCTGGAGCAACTATACTTCTATTCAAAGAAATGAAAAAACTTTTCACTATCTTAAAAGGTGTATAAAATAGTAAACTGTAAGGCAAAGCCTAGAGGAGGCAATTTTTAAATGCAAATGTGTTGAAAGAATGATGAACAATATAGGCAAGCGTTAAAAGTGAAAGTTAACTTCTGGGCTCAACAGTGGTGCAGTGGTAAAACACAATGCCCTGGGACTAGCAGATGGGGTAATGGTTACATCACTGGACTCCCACATAGTAGACTGCAGTTTGAGTCCTGGACCTGGCGGCTTAAAACTCATGCCAGGTTTACATGTGTGCGTGCCCAAAATCCCGAGAGAAGAATGGAGGAGAGGGGATTGCAGCGTGGCCGTGCTCCGTGGAGGGTGATTTCTCACTTTCTGTCTCTGTCTCTCCAGTGAGTGCACGAACCCTATAGCAAAAATCTCTCTAAAAACAACAGAAAGCAAACAAAACCAAACAAATGCTATACCCTGCAAGGCTGATCCACGTGGGAAGTTCTGAGTTTGCCTCTGGAGAACCCCCTGAGTACACCAAGCATGTGTGTGACTGTGTGTGGTAGGCAGTTAGTTAGCCATGAATGGGCAGCCCTAAGAGAAAAGCAGAAGGCTCACCTAGCCCCAGGCGCCAGGAGGGTGAGGCAATTTGCCATCTTCCTTCCTTGGGGCCTGAGGGGAGCATACAGGGATGATTAGTAGATTTTTCTCTTATCAAAAAGACCCAAGTGAACATTTTGGTCAACATCCTAATCCCCAAGTAAGCATTTTGGTCAACGCCCTAATTCCCACTAGGTCAACGCCCTAATTCCCACTAGGACGATGAATTAATTAGGCCGTCTAATTAAACGACCTGGCTCACACTGGGCATGAGCAATAAGGTAATCGAATTCCTCATTCCTTACCTGTGAGAAAAGTGCGCAAGCGCAGGAGAAAGCGCAGGAATTCTAATTCAAACGAAGGACATAGGGATATGACAGACCTCCCGCGATAAATATTCATGATCACCTCTAGTAATAAAAGTAACAATTAACCAGTATCAAACGCAGTTGCCACTGGCAATCTGCCCGCCCAAGAGCCTTTTTGGGTGTACTTCCCTTTCTTTCCTATTAAACCTTTTCTTCTACCTACTTCATTTGTGGTTGCGGTTTCATTTTGCACCTAGCGACAGATCTCTAATTTTAGTGATCTGGACCCAAAGAACCAAGGACTTCACAATGCAGCTCGACGCTCTCCCATCCGTTTAACATGACCCCGAGCTGGCTGAGGTTGAGACCCTGTGGGAGGTGCTGTCTTTGTCTCTGCTGTCTGCCTCTCCTTCTCAAAGAAGAAATAAATACACAAACTTAAAAAGAAAGTCAGCTTCTTGGGATCAGCAGTTAGCGTAATGGCTATGTCGCTGGACTCCCATGTAGTCGTCGACTGCGGTTCGCGTCCTGGACCCGGTGGCTTAAACTCATGCCGGGCACGTGTACATGTGTGCCCAAGATCCCAGGAGGAGAATGGAGGAGAAGGGATTGCGGCATGGCCATCCCCTCTGGGGGGTGATTTCTCACTTTCTGTCTCTCTGTGTCTCTCTGTCTGTCTGGCGAGCGCACGCGCACTACAGCAAAAACCTCTCCAAAAAGAAAAAAGAAAAAGAAAGTCAACTTCTTTACTCCACTGCTCTCTCTGCTGTAGACTGGCTTCCTCATCTTCCCATCAGAACATCTAATGCTCTCTCTTACATCCCCTCCTTGAATGTTTTGCTTTTGTCTCCTTTCTTTTTTTAATTTAATTTTTTTTTTTTATTGGTAGAGGACGTATGTACTCCCCAGACACGGAGAGTGAAAGAGAAAACGGACCCCAATGTGTATAGCCATGCCGCAATCTCCTCTCCACCATCTCTCTATCCTGTCAGGGTCTGATGCACACATACAAATGCACTAGCATGCTTTTCGATCTGCAGGAGTGGGGATTCGAACCACAGTCAGCTGTAGGCAATCCAGTTCCCAAGGCACAGGGCTTAACTGCTGTGCTATGGGGCAAGCCTGTCTTGCCTATTTTTTTTTTTTCTTTTTCACCAGAAGACACACAGGCTCACCAGATGAGAGAGAGAGAGAGAAAGAGAGAGAGAGAGAGAGAGCCAGAGAGAGAGAACCAGAGAGAAAAAGAGAGAAAGCACCCCCCATAGGGCATGATCATGCCTCAATCCCTTCTACATTCTTCTCAGGATTTGGGGCATGCATCAGGTCCAGGACTTAAACAGCATCGTCAGCCATGTAGAATTCAGCCGAGTTAACCACCATGCCACAGGCTGGCCTGCCTATTTTTATTTGAGTCCTACTTGTTTAATTTTCTTTGAGGTGGGGTGGATACTAGTTCATCCCTATCCTGGTTCAGGAGACTTTTCTAGAGCTGGGTCCTTTGAGTATGGTTACAAAGGCTTTTCCTTCCATCCTTCTCCAGGGTTAAGAAAAATAGGGTTTGTCTGCCTATTTTAGAGGGCTGAGCCACCCCCTGGGCCACAGGTGGGCGTGTCTTGCTGGAAAATGAACATGCAGGTAGTGAGGGGAAGGGCTGTGGGCTCCAGAGTACAGACTGCGGCTGGCGTGCCTTCAGCTGGTGCCTCAGACGACCTGCAGGCCTTGCCCTCATTCCCCTTTGCTGGTGAACTCTAACTTGCTCTGGGGTGTTGGGAAGCCTTTCAGTGCTGGCTCAGCTCCTGTCAAGAGTCTCTCTCTACCTGATCTTTTTGTTCCCAGCCCCAGTGACCTCTGTCCTTGGTCTGACCCCTCCCATGTCACTGCCATCCTGTTCAGGATCTGTCTCCCAGGACAAGGTAGGCTGGCTCTCCATTCGTTCCTCATCAACTCTGTTAATCATTGCAGAAGCATTCTGCCCTGAGCCCTTTGGGACTTTGCTTTTGATAATTAGAGCTAAGAATTTGACTGTGAGGCCTATTTGAAAGTCATCCTTCCAGTGATGGGTTTCCAAAGTCTATTTTGAAATCCAAATGCTAATCATTGACTGGCTTCAGGGTTATCTGCCCTTTCCAAAAATTACGGATGACTGAGGTTTACTTGCCTGGAGCTGAGCTGTAGGGGCGGGGAAGAAGGAACATACGAGAAATGGTAATGGGGGACTCAGGTGGTCATTCACTGTAGTATCCATAGGGCTGTCGGGAAAGTCACGACATATTTTTACATAGAAAAATGGCAAATCAGTATTACTTATTCATTCATATATCCATTTGGTCAACAAATGCTTACTGAGTTGAGTGCTTTTTCTCTACTTTTTTTCCCATAAGTTTCTTTCTGGCCCCAGCAGGTGGAGTAGTGGTTAAGGCTCTTAACTCCCACGTGGCCAGCTGTGGCTCAAGTCCCAGAACTGGTGGCTTGAAAGTCATCTGGGTGCATGTGCATGCGTGCCCAAAACCCCAGGAGGAGAACGGAGGAGAGTGCATTTGTGGCAAGGCCATCCCCCTGGGCGGCTGATTTCTCACTTCCCTCTCATTGTCTCTCTTTGGCAAATGCATACATCCTATGGCAAAAACCTAAAAAAAAAAAATTCTTTATTCCATGAGCAAGAAAGAGAGAGAGAGAGAGGCACCCCAACAGGATCCTCATGTTGCAATCTATCCCTAGCTTCAACCTAGAACATGACCATGTGTGTGCCTGGTGTATTCAGGGAGGTCTGTGGACGTGAACCCAGAACCTTTCCATGTAGGTCAGCCTCACAGAATGCTGCATTACTCTTGGGCAATTATCTAGCCCCCTACTCTATTTCTTTCTATTCTTTTAGAGGTTTTTGCCATAGGGTGCATATGCTTGCTAGAGAAAGAGACAGACAGTGAGAGGGAACATGAGAAATCACCCCCCAGGAATGGTGGCTCCGTCACAACCCCTTCTCCTCCATTCTCTTCCTGGGATCTTGGCACACATGAACATGTGCCCAGTGTGATTTTTCAAGCCCTGGGTCCAGGGACTCGAACTGTGGTCATCCATGTGGGAATCCAGCTGGTCATTTGGTCTATACCATCTGCTGCCTACCCCACTCTGTATTTTAAGTTCATTCTCAAAGCCCAGCTTCAGGTCCTTTGCCATAATGCCATTTCTGCCTTTTTATTTTATTCTTTATTTTTTGGCTAGAGGGCACAGGCATTCACCAGAGAGACAGAGAGACAGGGAGAGAGGAAAGCACTCCAGGTGGAGGCAAGGTCACACACCATCCTTCCCCTCCACCTCCGCCTTTCAGGAATTTTGGGCATGCACACGCATGAGCCCCATGTGTTCTCAAGTCACTCGTCCGGGACTCAAAGCACATGGTCAGCTACGCGGGATCCAGCTTCCTAACTCTAGGCCCTGGGCTGGCTCCACTGGGTTTTTATTATTCTTCCCTCCTGACTCCTAGAGCATTTTTAGTCTGCACGCACAACTTGGTACTTAACTGTACATTTTCGTGTCATCAGCTGTCTCATGGTTATTATCTTTTCTCCCAGCTGTATCGAAGCTCACTGAAGGCATGGACTCTGTTTTGTATTTCTTCTGTGTTCCTCCAGCCCAACGCCTTGCCCAGTGGAGTTCGGTGACTTCTGTTTCAACGAGTGAGTACTGACATGCGCATTCGTTACATCCACACGCAGAAAGTTCCTAAATGGAAGGAAGTAGGCTTCCTTGACTTCGCTAGCCAGTGAAATACTATGCCATTAAACCTCAAGCCTGTGGGGAAGAAAGGGGAGGGAAGGAGGAGGGTAGGAATTACAATCAGGACAGTGGTTCTCAACAGGGGATCATTTTGCCCCTCTGGATAAGATTGTTAGATTTAGCAAATAAAAATACAGAACATCCTGTTAAATTTGACTGACAGGTAAAGCACTAATGATTTTTAAAAATATAAGTATCTCCCAAATGGAGGAACCAAGGCGACCGACTTGCTGCTCTTAATCCCATCTTCCAGACCCCCAAGACTTAGACAAGCCGTTCAAATCTGGGGTGTGTCCTGCCGTGTGCCGGGACCTAGGTGACTGAATCTCTGCTCTAAACCCCATCTTTCAGACCCCCAGAAGAATGCCTCAGATGTATTTGGGACAGAATAATAATAAATTACTTATTATTTATCTGAAATTCAAATCAAACTGTATGTTACATGTCAGCCCTACCCCAGGGGACATTTGGCAATGTCTGGAGACATTCTGGATGGTCACAAGTTGGGGGGGGGGTGCTGCTGGCACCTAGTGGGTGGGGGCCAGAGGATGCTGCTCAGTATCCTTTACTGCACAGCACAGCTGCCTACAACGAAGACTTACTCAGGCCAGCAGGTGGCACAGAGGTTAAAGCAGCTGAATCCCACATGGCCAACTGCGTGGTTCAAGCTCCAGACACGGTGACTCAAAGATCATGCTGGGGGTATGTGCATGCATGCCCAGGATCCTGAGAGGAGAATGAGGAAGGGATTGTAGTGTGGTCATCCCCTCTGGGAGTGGGAGTGCTTTCTCATTTTTCCTCTCTCAGTGTCTCTCTCTGTCTCTCTGTCCCCAGTGAGAAGACATGCCTACAGCAAGTTAGGAAAAGAGAGAGAGAGAGAGAGAAATGGTACCCTCCAAACAATAAAGACTTACTCAGCCCCAAATGCAATCCTGCCACACTGAGAAACCCTGTTCTGATAGAAAGGGCCTAGTTCTGGGCTAGCTTATCTTTTGGGCACTGTGAGCACAGAGTTAGGGGTTTTCATTTGCTTTACAGGTTTATAAAGAGTTTGAAACGTTAAATGTCTGTATACACACATGCATATATGTGTATATATGTGCACACACGTACATGTATGCCTATATATGTACAGGTGTTCATATATACACACATACAGGTATAGGTTCAATATACTAAAAAAACCCTTCAACAATCAAAGTGAATTTAATGTAAGTGTCTTTTAGAGAGTACCATGTCAGCCAGCCATCTGTGGCTCCACGCATGTCGATGTCTATACTCAGTAGATGCATTGAACATGTTTGATACTATGTAGGTTAATCCTCTGAGAGAAACGGGGCTGGAGCTTACAAAAGCTTAAAAATAGCCCTGCTAAAACCAGGCAGGAACCAAAATATTGTTCCTGGGTTAGTGTGTGAAGGGAGAAGGCCAAGATCTCAGAAGACGGAGGATATGAGAATTTAAGTTCTACTTAAAGATCATAGTTGAGGCCGTCCATGTGATACAGAAGTGGCAGGACACACTGGGAGGCTGGAAGCCACCTTAGAAGGTCCCAGGTTCATGTCCCAGCTTCTCTCCATGCCTGTGATCCAGGCTTTTTGAGCCTGGGGTGGACGCAGCATGGAGACCCTGTTCAGGGTGCCTATCTTATTCTTTCTCTCTTTGAAGAAATAAATGTAAATAAATATATATGGCAGGATAATTAAGAATTGACATTAGAGACAATGGAACCAGCAAATGGAGTAATGGTTACATCGCTGGACTCTCACACAATCGCCCATGGCTCAACTCCCAGACCTGGTGGCTTAAAACTCACACTGGGTGCATGTGCATGTGCGCTTAAGATTCCAAGAGGAGACTGGAGGAGAAAGGTTTGCAGCATGACCATCCCTCGTGAGGGGCAATTTCTCGCTTTCTGTCTTGCTGTCTCTTTGTGTGTCTCTGGCAAGCACACATGCCCTATGGTAAAAATCTCTCTCTAAGAAAAGAAATTAGAGACAATGGAGAAGAAAAAAGAAAAAGGTTTAAAAATTATCATGAGGGGCCAGCAGGTGGTGTGGTGGTTAAGGTGCTGGACATTCCCACCTGGCTGACCGTGTTTCGAGTCCCAGACCTGGTGGCTTGCTGTCTCACTTTCCCTCTCTCTCTCTCTCTTTATGTCTCTCTCTGATCAAATTAAAACAAATGAATGAATACATAAAATTAAAATGAATAGTTCTTTTTAAAAATTAGCATGAATATGAGGTAATTTGTAATCAAGTACTAAATATCTTACCTTCTTTTTCAGTTGTCAGACCCATACCACCTCATGCCACTCATCTGCTTAAACTTAGCAGTGGCTCTCCATCTCACTACAAGGAAAGCCAAGCTTCTTACAGTGGCCTGGAGGCCCTGCTTAACCCGACCACCCTAAACCTCTGTTCTCAGTTCCTACCACTTTCTTCTCTTCCTTGCACGCTCCAGGTACAATTGACCCTCCATATCTGTGGGTTCTGCGTTTGCAGGTCCACCCAGCCGTGGATGTGGAATCAACAGATACGGGCGATTGATTGTAGCGTACCATTTTGTGCAAGGGCTGTGGCATCTGCAGGGGACCGGGGTGGGGTCCTGGAACCAATCCTGCATGGATTCTAAGGGATGACTATATACTCTTGCTTTATGGTTGCGTTAGTTACCTACTGCAGTGTAACCAATTACCTCAGAAGACTGTAACTCACAGCTTTTGTTAGCTTACAGCTGTGTGGGTCAGTGACCCAGGAGTGGCTTAGCTGAGGGCTTCCCATGTGGTTACTGTCAGGGTGTCAGCCTGCATTTATGCTAATGAGGCGGCTTAGGGCGAGACCCCTAGAAAGCTCCAGGATGGGACAGTCACCAGACAGAGCCAGTGATTAGGTTAGAGGGTTGCAGCTCTCAGCCCCACCCACCTCCAGGAAAGGGGCGAGGTGGGGGTGGGGTGGCTGGAGAACAAGCTCTATCAGAACTCTGGAATGTGAGGTTTGGTGAGCTTCCAGGTTGGCGAATGTGTCCACGTGCCAGGTAGCAGTGCACTCCAACTCCATGGGGAGAACAAGGGGGCCCTTCCAGACCCTGTCTGACATTCCTCTCCACTTGGTCGTTCATCTGTGTCCTGTTTAAGATCCTTTATAATAAACCTCAGGCAGAGCCAGCAGATGGCGTAACAGTTACATCACTGGACTCCCACATGGCCAACTGTGGTTCTAGTCCTGGACCTGGTGGCTTGAAAATTATGCTGGGCACGTGTGCCCAAGATCTCAGGAGGGGAAATGAACGAAAGGAATTGTAGTGTGGCCATCCCCCCTGGGGGTGATTTCTCACCTTTCTTCTCACTGTCTCTGTCTCTCTCTCTCTCTCTAGTGAAAGCATGCACCCTAAGGCAAAAATCTCATAAATAAATAAATAAATAAACCTCAGGTTGGCTCCATGGTCTGGTGGTTGAGGCGGCCAGTTCCCACATAGCTCACTGCATGACCGGAGTCCCGGAGTCAGCAGCTTGAGAAACACGCTGGGCACATGTGCATGCATGCCCAAAATCCTGAAGGGAGGGAGAGATGGAGGAGAAGGGATTGTGTGTGACCACTCCCCATGGGGGGTGGCTTCTTTCCTCTCTCCCTCTCTGTCCCTCTCTGGTGAGCACATGTGTCCGTCAGCACAAATAAGTATATAAATAAATCGGTAAACTGAAGTGTTTCCCTGAGTTCTGTGAAGTGTCTTAGCAAATTAATTGAATCCAAAGAGGGGGCTGCAGAACCCAATTTATAGCCGGTTATTCAGAGACAGGTGACAGCCTACCACTTGTATTTGACAGCAGAAGTGGCACAGCCTGATGGGATTGAGCCCTCTACTGTGGGATCTGACACTGTCTCCTTGGAGACAGCATCAGAGTTGAATTGAGTTACTAGGATACCCCGTTGGTGTCTGCTGGAGAATCGCATGCTGTGTGAGGGGACAGCCCCCCACATCTGGCCACAGTGTCCTGTGTTGACCTGTATGAGTAGACAGAAAAAACAGTTCGTCTTTACCTTTAGAATTGTGTCCCACAGAAAACGACAAGCAGGAAGAACACTAGAAAGGCAAGCCTAGGGCCAACAGGTGACGTGGAGGTTAAGGCAGCTGGATTCCACACAGCTGACTCCACGGTTTGAGTGCTGGACCTGGCAGCTTGAAAATCAAGCTGGGTGCGTATGTGTGCATGCCCCAAACCCCAAGAAGAGAATAGAGAAGGAGGGACTGTGGTGTGGCCATCCTTGCTGGGGGGGATGTCTCACGTTCCTTCTCTCTCCTTCTCTCAATGCTTCTGTCTCTCTCTGGCAAATGCACGCACCCTCTAACAAAAGCAAGGGAAAAAAAATAACAAAGCCTCTGTGGCCAGAGGCCACTGCTGAACTAGACCTGGGCTGAGGACGCAGAAAGCAGAGCGAAGCTGTACCCCTTCCCACTCTGCCTGCAGGACGTTCAGGGTCCGGTCAGCAGTCCTTCTCCATCAGGAAGGGTTCAGCAAGGAGGCGTGGCGAGGTGGTGGACCAGGACTCAAAAGTGAAGAAACCTTTGGTAGTGGGAGGAATACCACTAGTTTCTGATTTGGGCATCTTTGACTTAAAATTTTTTTGTTTTTAATTTAAAAGTAGAACTTCAAAATATCCCAGCATTAGGAGGAAGAGATATTTTGTGACTGACTAGCTAAACCGGCTAGCGGAGACAAGTCTGGGGAACGCCGGTCCCTGAGCCCACTTTTGCACATCACACAGTAGATGATTTGCCACAGCTGGGAGGTTTGCTCCTGGCAGGGCGGGCTTTTGGAACCTGGTTATTTTCTTCTAGACCCTGTGCATTCCTTATGGGTCTTACCTGAGTAGTCAAACTGGCAAAATTTACCCTAGGTATTGTGTTGTCCCCCTGAACCTGTGGCTAGAGTCACCCCAAAAGCAGCAGCAGGGAAGGCTTGAGGGAGTGCCCCAGATACTCCATAGAGGGCAGGTTAGTAGTCCAAAGACAGAAGCACTAAGCCAGGGTGACCCTTCAAGATGTCTGTTAGGGAAAACGAGAGGGGGCTGTGCACATTCTCACGATGGACAGTCGGGAGAAATGTCCTACCTAGGATGTCTGCAATGAGAGTGCAGGATATAGAATTTACAGGAAGGAATTTGGCTTGGAGCTGGGGCTAGTTTCTTTCCGTGTTTTGGATGACAACCTAAATACCTTTATCCATGCCTGGGAACAGCCAAGGCCCTGGCAGTGTGGGCTCAAGCCTGCAGGTGATCTGTACCCGGTTGGGCTACAGAGCAGTCTTGGGGCTTTGAACTTCTCCATCAGGACAAGAGAAAGGTGCCTGCAGGGATAGATAACAGACTGCGGTAAGAATGGAAGCAGAGATTGTCTGAGGCGACAGTAGCAGAGGGTGAGATGTGATAGTGGCTTGAACTCGGTGTTTGTCGAACTAAGAACAAACGCAAACTCCCTGAAATTTGTGCTGAAGAAATGAATGAATGATGTTTCCAGACCTTTGGGAGGTTTCTCATGGAAATGATGCCAGAACTGTCATATCAGAGTTTCAAAGTGAACATTTACCCATAAAATAACTGTATAGGTTTTCCATTGGCATCATAGCAACTCAGGAAGGAAACTTAGTCTTAGTTTGATTAAAAGTAAATATTACTGGGACCAGCAGATGGCATAACTGTTGTTGCTGGACTCTCACATAGTTGACTGTGGTTTGAGTCCCAGACTCGGTGGCTTAAACCTCACGCTGGGCATGTTTGCATATGTGCCCATGATCCCAAGAGGAGAATGGAGGAGAAGGGACTGTGGGGTGGCCAACTCCCCTGGGGGGTGATTTCTCACTTTCTGTCTCTCTGCCTCTCTGTGTGTCTCTGGTGAGTGCACGCACCCTATAGCAAAAATCAAACAAACAAAAAACTCCCTCTCAAAAAAAGTAAATATTACTTAATTAATTCATTTTGGAGGATTAGTCTTTCAAAATGGGCCTTTGGGGAAAATGATGAATGTAGCCTCTGGTAATTCAAAGGTTGGAGACGCCCGTGTTAAGTAGACTGTGCTCGGATAACTGAGCATTTGTCACGACTGCAATCTATTTTCTTCCATCCAGACGTAAGGAGCAGGTGCTATTTCAGAAGTGTTTCACTCAGCCAAGCTAGGTGTGAGACTGTAAGAGGTGTGGGGAGGTGCATCACTTTTATGAAAACCAGCGTTGCTCTGAATATAATTTTGGACGGTGGTGAGAAGGAAGCGCTTGGTATCCAGAAAAAGTCCGTAATAAATTAGGTAAGGTTGCTTTCATTTTCTCCATCACAGCTTCTTCTTCTTCTTCTTTTTTTTTTATGACTTCAGTAATGAAGTCGCTATGTATTTTATTTGATTTATTTATTATTTTGGAGAGGTTTTCGCTATAGGGCGTGTGTGCTCGCCAGACAGACAGAGAGAGACAGAGAGACAGAAAGCGAAAATCACCCCCCAGAGGGGATGGTCACGCTGCAATCCCTTCTCCTCCATTCTCCTCTCAGGATCTTGGGCACGCACGCACATGCGCCCGGTGTGAGTTTTAAGCCACCGGGTCCGGGATGTGAACCGCGGTCGACTACATGGGGGTCTAGCGACATAGCCATTACGCTAACTGCTGGTTCCCGTCTCTATGTATTTTAGACGGGCAGTTGCAAACTAACGGTCCATAGTGCTTTTTATGATACAAGGTTGGGAAGGTCTAGGAACTCTCATATTAAAAATCTGGGTTTCTTGGGTCTGGACAGTGGCACAGGGATGAAACACGATGCCCTGCAAGGCCAACCCACATGAGGACATTCCTGGTTCACATCAGAGACCTGAGTATGCCGGGTGGGCGTGCCCATGATTGGGACTTTCTGAAGCCGGGGTGGAAGGTGCCGTCAGGATGCTGTTGAGGGCGCTGGCTCTGTCTCTTCCTCACTCATGGAGGAAATAAATAAATAAATACACTTTAAACAAATCTGGGTTATAGGCCAGTAGGTGGCATGGAGATTAAGGTGCTGGATCCCATGTGGCCAGGTTCACTCACAGTTCAGGTCTGGACTCAAGGACTTGAGAATCACGCCAGGTGCCTGTGTATGTGCGCCAAAAATTGCAAGAAGAGAATGGAGGAGAAGGGATTGTGGTGCGGCCATCTTCCTGGGCAGATGGTTTCTCACTTTCCCTCTGTCTCTTGCTCTCTCTCTGGTGAGCACACACATCTCTGGAAAAAAAAGGAAAGAAAGAAGAAAAGAAAGAGCAAAAGAGAGAAAAAGAAGAGAGAAAGAAGGAAGAAAGAAAGGGAAAAAAGACAGAGAAAGAAGGAAAATAAGAAAGAAAGAAAGAAAGAAAGAAAGAAAGAAAGAAAGAAAGAAAGAAAGAAAAAGAAAAAGAAAAAGTACTGAAAAAAAAAGTTCCTGGTGTCTTGAAAAATGGGAAGATCTGAAACATGGTTTCCAGAGTCCTCCGTTAAGCAATGCTGCATCATGTGCTATAAACCTGCTCCTCCAGTAGGCAGTTCCCTGTACCTTCACTTCCGACTGTCTGTTTCCCTTTTTAGATTTTTCCATAGGACATATGCACTCATTAGAGAGACACAGAGAGAGACAGTGAGGGGGAAAGTGAGAAACCACACCCCAGGGAGGATGTCCATGCTACCGTCCCTTCTCCTCCATTCTCCTCCTGGGATGTTGGGACGTGCACACATGTGCCTGGTATGATTTTCAAGCTGCCAGGTCCAGCCCTTGAACTGCAGTCAGCCGTGTCGGAGTCCAGCCATCTGCCGGCCACACGTCCTACTGTCTTACAGTTTGCATCGCCACCATCTGCCCTGTAGGCATCAGAGTTTGCCACCCCTGTTTGAGAGGTATGCTTTGCCGATAATATTGACCAAATGATCACGGATTAATTATAAACTTAGCTGATAATGACCCTATCAGTTTGAAGTGACCTAGGACTGTGACATTTCCTGCCCGTCTGCTGATTTATTATGGACCCGCTGGCCAGAGAAGGCCTGACTCCATCTTGCCCCCAGCTGGCACAGGTTATATGAATAGTGGTAACATCTGCTGCTCTGGTGTGAGGCAGCCTTTGCAGCCCACTTCGCATGGCAACAGACAATTCCTTCTGAGTCAGCACCACCTGGATGCTACTGCCGACCAAAATGAGACCCTCTACCTTCAACCACATCAATATCGAGCAGTGAAAAAGTGTCTGGGTATCGACCATGAGTGTAGGTTATGCGATCAGCCTGTGTTTTTCGTTCTGTGACGTATGTGGCTCCAGAGCCCACAGGGAAAAAGCAACCGCATCTTCTTGGTTGTGCAAGCACCACTACATTATAATGAATAGGGAATATTAAATTGGGCTGATGAGTCATATTACAGTAATCCATTATTTCCCTTGTAAAGTCCCTGAGGTTTACACAAGGAAATCTTTTCTAATAATAAGAAGAGTGATTCGGAGGCATGTGCCTCTTAGCTCTCTGGTCTTGATTAGTGGAATCTTGGGTCAGGAGGTCTCAGTCTCCATTTTTAAGATGAAATGAGATCATAGATGTGAAATCCTTTTTTTTTTTTTTTTTTAAATTTTTTCCATAGTACGCACATGCTCACTAGAGAGAGACAGAGAGAAAGAGAAGCTGAAAAATCACCTCCCCCGCCCAAATGCCAGAGGGGATGGCCACACTAGCCCTTCTCTTCCGTTCTCCTCATGGGATTTTGAGCATGCACACACATGTGCCTGTTTTTCAGGCCACTGGGTCCAGGACTGAAACCATGAAGTTGGCCATGTAGGATCCAGTGCCTTAACTACCACACCACCTGCTGACCCCTCATATGTGACATTTTGAAGGACAGTACCTGGCACTTAATAGGATCAATAAATGTTAGTATTTTAAAATAGAGATTGCTTCTCAAGATCCACAGAACAGTGGCCAGCAGTGTGCTGGTTATAGTGCCGGACTAGCACATGGCCAATCCCAGTTTGAGTCCTTGACCTGGTAGCTTGCTTTCTCACTTTCCCCCCCCCTCTCTGTTTCTCTCTCTAGTGAGTGCATATGTTCTATAGCGAATCAAATCAACAACAATAATAATAAAATTAAATTTAAAAAGAAGAAGAAATAGCTTTGCGAATGATGTGGGTTGTGGTATTAAGTGTTTGGGCTTTGAGACCGGCTGACTGAGTTTGAACCCTGTTCCTGCTGCTTATAAGCTGACTACTTACTCAACCTCTCTAAGCCACAGCACCTATCCCACAGGATACTGTTGAGAATATAGAGTTCAGAAGATAAGTCCTGTGAAGTGCCCAACTCATCAATAAACGTTGGCTTTGAAAAATAGAAAGCAGAGGTCAGAGAGTGGTGCAGCAATAAAGCAACTGGTCCCTTGTAGAAAAGGTTCTGGGTTCATGTCCCAGATCTCTGAGCACACCAGGCGTGTGTGTGCCCGTGATCTGTGCTGGCTACAGGTGCACTAAGTAAGCCTGTACTGCAGGAGGGAAGATTAAAGAATGTCAACACACCTCGACAGTTATGCCACAAGGTATTGACCATGCCTTGAGCCAATCCACTTGAGCCTTGAACATATTCTTTCACCATCCTCACTGGTGACTCTTTAAAATCACCCTGAAATCTGTAATGCCTCAGCACATATTTATTTTGGCCCACATTAATTCTTTGCTTTATTTAATTTGTCTCAGCTTTCCTTCGTAGGTTGGCATATGCAAGGATAATCTCGGTATTTTGATTATTACTGCACAATTACTATGTCAACTTTTAACTTCAACTAATGACAACATTTAGGACATTAATAATAATAAATAATAGGACCAACAGATGGTGTAATGGTTACGTTGCTGGACTCTCATGTAGTCAACCGCAGTTCAAGTCCCAGACCCAATGGCTAAAACACACTGGACGCATGTGTGTACATGCCCAAAATCCCAAGAGGAGAATGGAGGAGAAGGGATTATGGCATGGCCATCCTCCCTGGGAGGTGATTTCTCACTCTCTGGCTCTCTGTGTCTTTGGCAAGTACACATGCCCTGTCGCAAAAATCTCTCTAATAGTAATAGTAAATTTATCATTCTGTGCCACTAAGATAATATATTACATGGAGTCAAACCAAGAAAAGAAGGCTGAGGCAATGAAATAAGCAAAGGCAGTTTTATTTGGACCACAGAGAGGATGATTATCTGGACATGCAGCATTCAGCTTACCTTGAATGAAGTGTGACAAGATCTTACAGAATATAGATAGTTTTTTTTTTTAAACAAATTATTTATTTAATTTTATTTATTAATAGTATATTTTTAAAAAATTGTGATAGGGCA